GAAAAAAAAATAAAAATAAAAGGCCTTTTACTCTTAACCCTTTACTCTCACAAATATAACTTATCAATCCAAAATAATCCTTTCTAATAATATTAAATAAATAAAATAAATATTACTACAATTCATTTTTATTCAGCATATATATAACATATAAATATATTAAATCTTCCCCAATCAATCTCGTCTTCAATATCTCCAATCCAAATCCAAATAAAGAATGTTCTTTTTTAACAACAACCCATGTGATGATCACGTTTTCCCTCCATCCACCAGGAAAACTTAATTCTCCTGTCAGAAAATAACTGACATTTGATGTATTATATTAAATTTATTTCTTCTTTTTTTCAACAGCTACAACACGCCCACCCTTCACAAGCCCAGCGTCATTCTCTCTGTGGTGGTGTTGTATCGAATCTCCCCTTTAAATTGTATCGGGACGCCTTGAAGACGTTCAGGGAATTTATCGAATCGTCTTCCCTTATGATGATTTATAATATAATATCTCCGATACATTTCAATATATAATCGCGAAAACACATATTATCAATAATGACATGTACATTGGGGTATCTGCATTTATAATCTAAGGAACATTAATATGGACAATGTAATATCAGCAAAACATAATAATTCATTCATTTTAAGACATTTGGGAAATAGGATCTATAATATACCTTATTTGGGCATGATTAATGGTAATTAGGAAATAATGATTTTACATATAATACTGTAATGTGAACACATGGTCTATGTGTGAAATGCAATTTCAACACATGTAATCGTCCTTCTGTCATGTAAACAAAATCAAAGCTACATTTTTATAAATATCTCCTAAAATAGATATAAAAATCCATTTTTAGGTATTAAAAATAATTGTGAAAATTTGCCGAACAAAGATTTTAAATAAAATTACAAATCATATGTATAGAAATAAATTAATATTTTATAGGGAGGAAAAATATATAATATGTGGAAAATACAATATTTTCCATCTAGGAATTACTCAGTATCCTAAGAAAAATATACCATTTCTACCTAACTCTGCCATCACAATTAGCACAAATTCACAAAAATGTAGAATGCAAAGTAACAAAAATTGAGAATATAATGGGCTATATGGTATATATGTAAAGAATTCCTAATATATCTTCACAATATAAAATAATTTGAGTCTTTTTTTTTAAAAAAAAATGTTCATAAAATAAATAGTATAGTGATGCGCTATAAAATTATTACAAAGATAAAAAAAATGTAATATGCAGCATAAATTTACAAAAAAAAATTTACACAAAAAAAAACTTTCTCCAGTATGCAAACTAAACAATATTCCCACCTCAAGGCATACTCATCAACATGAGCTGACCTTATCTGTAAAAATATTTTCCCTTCACATCATTGCATACCATAAAAATAATATAATAATTGCAAATAAAACCTTTTATAAAATTTTATAATTTAAAAAAAAATATATGTATATTAAATATAGAGATTTCATAATTTAAAAAAAAAAATATTACACATCATCTAATATATCATATAAATACATAACCAATTTATATATATATATCAAATGCAGGCACTAAATCAAAATAACTATCCATCTATAACATTATAGATATTATTCTGACTTCATCATACTTCAATTCCTTTTAAATTATCATTCATAATAAAATATATCATATGTGTAATTCACATTACATCCTATGTTATAAAAATGGTTAATTACTTCAAAATAAACAACATTAACTCACCCTCAATAGATCACTTAATGATATATCAACCTTAATTAAAACTGAATTACATATACAATATATTAACATTAATTAATAATAAATTATCCCACATGTCCATCCCTTTAAAAACCCAAAATGCATAATTATATAACACATACTTTATTACAAAAGTCCATTTCTATATATATTTTCATAAATTTCAAATATTTAAATATTTAGCAATCCTTTCTGTCCTGCTGATATTGAGGTCTTATCTTCCTATGACGGAATACCTATAACACCATTCAATGAGTCTTAAAGCGTACCAAATAATAAGACAATACTTATTGTCAAACATTGGATGTGAAATATACATCTAGACATATAGTACCACAAATATTATTGTCTTAAATGGCCAAAATGAAGAATACCACAAATATTATTGTCTTAAATGGGCCAAAATGAATCAAATATCATTAACCAATAATTAATCATTTTATTTTAATTTTCAATCCTAATAATCATTACATACTTTCTATCTTTAGCTTTGCAAGCTAAATATTTAAGATAAAATTATAGAAACCCTTAAACTCACCTCTTAATCTCATTTACCCCTGTATAGTGATTAGTACTTATGCGTTGTGTACCTAAATCCATTTGTTGTCGATCCTGGTCACGGCACCAATATTGAAAAAAATGATAAAAATAAAAGGCCCTTTACTCTCAACCCTTTACTCTCACAAATATAACTTATCAATCCAAAATAATCCCTTCTAATAATATTAAATAAATATAATAAACATTACTACAATTCATCTTTATTCAGCATATATATAACATATAAATATATTAAATCTTTCCCAATCAATCTCGTCTTCAATATCTCCATTCCAAATCCAAACAAAGAATGTTCTTTTTTAACAACAACCCATGTGATGATCACGTTTTCCCTCCATCCACCAGGAAAACTTAATTCTCCTGTCAGAAAATAACTGACATTTGATGTATTATATTAAATTTATTTCTTCTTTTTTTCAACAGCTACAACAGATATGTCATGGTTAAATAGCAAAGGCTGCCACCATAAAAATTAATGGAAGGCAAGGCTAAAAGAAAAGAAAAGTTTTGATATGAATATCTATTTTCAGAAATTCTTTATTATATTTTTATAGAAATTATTTTTTTTAAGGAATATGAAATCATTTTTTTTTATTATAAATTATTATTGTTTTGTTGTAAAAATAAAGTTATGAAAAAATTAAATTATGAAAAATCTAAACATAACAATGGCGACGAAAAAAAGGAACCCAAGAAAACTGATGAAAGAAATAGCGCAACATAATATTTCTTAAGGGAATGTCAATGTTGATTCCAATGTAAAATAAGGGAGATCTTTGGCCAAAATATGTATAAAAAAATATATGAATAAATATGAAATTTCTAAAAAATATTTATAAATTATGACATTTACTAAACAATTCGGAGAAAATTTTACCATTATTTTCTAAGACTTGAAGCGCATTTTGCGGCAAATAATATTACGGACGAAAAAAAGAAAAAAGCAATAATTATTCTCTCATTACAATCCAGCGATATATATATATATATACTAGTCCAAAAATTTGTACCTAAAAAAATTATGGATCTAATATATTACGATATGTTAAATATTTTAAAGGGGAAGGAAACATGTTATATTCCCGCGATAGGCCAAGAAATTCATTTTCAAAAATATGAAGAAAACAATATATAGCTTAATAATTGATAAAAAAAACACGAATACAAAAATGATTAATAATGACAATAAATTGATAGAGGAAACAGAAAAAAAGTCAGAAATCAAGTACTTAACTCAAAGAAATTACCAGATTTTATGCCTTGTCATATGACTTTCATTAAAGATTTCATAGATTCTTACAGTTTGGCACTTATATCAAATATTGAGGAAAAAGAACAAGTTACGTCGAAGCGAAAAAAATGTTCAAGGTATTTATTATCAAAGAATAAATTACAAGCCAAAACCACGCAAATAATTTTACATGAGTGTAATAAAATTGATGTAGCACCCACTCCAACTAGACATAATCAAGATGTAAAATGGAAAATATTTTAAAGAAAATTAGTGGAAAAATCAAATCAAATAATGACAATATAAAAGTGAAAAATATTTTAAAAGACAAAAATAATGAAAAAATCAAATTAAATAATGATTACGGACATATGAATATTTCATTAAAATCTCACGATATAAAGATTAAACTGATTATGATCATATCGAGAAAGCGAATATCAAGTGAAAACATTCAGCCAAAATCAAGGAATACAAATTTGACATAGGTAAATCAAAAATATTTCAATAAGACTCCTGGGACGATGAATCAGCACCTCAGACTAAATTAGAAAAAATTGATAATAAAAAAATTAGGCTGTTGATCAAAAGAATTCGACAAGTAGATCTACCAAAGAGGCAAAAATTTACAAATTCCAGCAAGAATAAACTCATATCCAAGACCACCAACTTCGATTTCGGAAGGGGAAGGGAATGGAGGCAGGACACGAAAATAAAAAAGACATACTTATCAAATCATGAGAATCTTTTTAAGGGGAGCGATTTTCAGAAATTGTTTATATTATTTTTATTTTTTAAGAATATTTTTTTTAGGAATATCAATTTTATTAACGATTTCTCGGAATTCTTATATTTGAAAATTTTTTTTTTTTAGGAATATAAAATTTTCTCTTTTTTTTTTTGATATGAATTATTATTGTTTTGTTGTGAAAATAAAGTTATGAAAAGATTAAAATATAAAAATATGAAAAATCCAAACATAACTAGTTTAATTTGGAAAATTTATTATAAAACGATTTATTTTTTAATAATTATATTGTTCAAATGAGCCTCATCATCATCACCAATTATAGGTAGATCATCGATGAATATGACATCTTTCATGTCCTCGAAGATCTTATCCTTTTTGATGAAAAATAGCTGACAAAGTTTTCAATCCAAAGTTTTGTAAATCTGTAGTAACCCTTATGCGTAGATATCATGAGTAAATTTTGAGATTCTTTATAGAAAAGCGTTTTTGAAATCAATTTTTGTAGATTTTTTGCCTTTTGATAATTTCGAAATTAAATCATTAATACGTGGTATTGGATATTTAAAATGTTCCAAAGCTGGATATATGGCATTTTTGAAATCTGCACAAAATCTAAGTGAGCCATTGAGCCATCACTCTTAAAAACAGGTCGACAACATCTTCCGTAATTAATGTATAGGGTGGCAATCATATAATTTTAGCACAACTCAGTTAATTTTTTTTTTTTGATAACAATTGAGAAAATGTCTAGCAGAAAAACAAAATCAAAAACTACTAAAAAACGTGTTCAAAGAGCAACTTCAAATGTCTTTGCTATGTTTGATCAATCGCAAATACAAGAATTCAAGGAAGCTTTTAATTTGATTGATCAAAATAGGGATGGTTTGATTGACAAAGATGATCTGCATGAAATCTTTGCATCTTTAGGTATGGATATCATTGATGATATTTAATAATATAATTTTTTTAGGGAAAAATCCAGAGGATCAGTTTATTCAAGATATGCTAAATCAAGCACCTGGACCTATAAACTTTACAATGTTCCTTACATTATTTGGAGAAAAATTAAATGGAACTGACCCTGAAGATGTTATAAAAAATGCCTTTGCTTGTTTTGATGAAACTGGAAATGGTTTTATATAATGTAATTTTTATTTAACAACATTTATAAGGCACTATCAATGAAGATTATTTAAGAGAATTATTAACTACAATGGGGGACCGATTTAAAGATGAAGATGTACATTTCATTATTTAAAAAAAAAACTTATTAGTTTATAGGTTGATTTGCTATTTCATGATGCACCATTTAAACAAGGGGAGATTGATTATCATGGATTTACTGAAGTATTAAAACGTGGAAAGAAGAATAAGGAGGAAGACCAAAACCCAAAAATATTTTAGTGCAAATTACAAACTTGGCTTTTATAAATATTTTGCTATTTATTTATCTATGCTTTTCTATTAATACAATTTATATATGTATTTTAAACATGTTAAAGATAATATATTGATTTTTTAAAAATTGCAACTTAAGTTTTATATATAATTCTACATTGAGAATATTTATTTTATATATAACAATAATCACCATAATATTTTTAACAGATAAAAATTAAATTAAAAACATTTAAACTTAGGGAATTCCTATTCCTTAGGCATAATATACAATATTTTTAATTTACTATTGTTCCTTTAGAGTAACCCAATTATTGTTTAATAATAAAATGTCTATATAAGAATTTTAAACAGCAAAGTTTTGTTTTAAAATGTTATAGGAGCGGGAATTTTCAATTTAGGTGAAATGGAGATCTAGAAGACACAATTAATTGTGAATCAGGATTTGATTATTTTTTGGGGGTTGGGATAGAAAATTTTTATCATTTATATAGGTTGGATTGGGCTAGAAAATATTTTGGTTCCAATTTTGAATTTCAATGATATCAGGTTTGATTGTATATTGTTTTACAATTTGGTTTATTTTAGATGATTTCTTAAAATGTACTAAAAAGCAAATAAATTTTAGGTTAAATCTTTTTTATATTATGATTTTTGGGCTGGGTTGGGTTAGAAATATGGAATTAATTTTATGTACCAGTTGGTAAGGAAAAACCTTTCTTCACACATGTGTGATTGGGTATAAAGATTTAGTCTTTTGCAGGTCTTTAGAGCCAATATAAAATATTATAAATAGATTTTTGTGACTTACAAATTCTCCACAAATATAATGTCCTGAAGGGAAATAGCCTCTACAAAATATCTGCATTATCACATACAGAATATAATTTTAAGAAAGGTGTTTCAATATATTATCTACCTTTTTTTTATAAAAAGCAAGACACAAAATAAAATGTTTATTAAAAGAGAAAAATAAGTAATAAAAATCATTTTAAAAAATATGGTAACAGGGAAATGCAAGAGTAGTCATTCATAAATGAATACAAATCAAATAATGAAATATTCACATTTTATTCTTTTGAGAATCAAGTAATTTATATTTATATGAATACTAAAATATACCATTCTATCTAATTAAATAGTAGATTATTCAGTTCATTTAAAAGAATCATAATCCATCATCCGATTTAATTGTTTTTAAATATACCTACCCAAGGAACAATCATTTTTAAATCTTACATTTTAAAGCAAATTGCCTTATAACTTGTAAATTATAATAGTGCTTAACACTTGCACTCATTCCTATCTAATTTGGCAAAAAATGAGGATTACGAATGAGAGGTTTTGGGCAAGCTGTGGTAGAAGTCTGCAATGGGATAGTTTTAGCCAACAAGCTACCCACTCGTTTCAAATTTTTTTTAGCATGGTGGTTTTATTAAATTCACCTATCCGCCCATTTATCAAATTGTTTAACCAGACCACCCAATGTTTTAAAATTATTTTAAGGGCTGGTGTGGCAATATTTATTTAAATGTATTTTTTATTAAATTTATAATGCAAGATTATGAAATAAATATTTAACAAAAGTCTGTTTTATTTCGCTCAATTCATACACCCATTGTTTTAGAAATATTTTTTAACCCTCCCGCCACTAGCCCAGTGTTTATATTTTAGAAAGCTTGCCCACTCGGAGAATTGGTAGCCGGGTTAAAACCCGCCCATTGCAGTCCTCTAGGTGGCAGTTACCCGTGCCTAGCACATGAGATAAGTAACTTGCCTAATCATGGGAAATAAGAAGATCAGAGCCTTTCCCGAAATCTTTCAGTATTTAGAGTTTAATAATTTATTATTGACGAAAAATATAAAGTATGGTATGATAGTGGCAATAGCTGATGCCCTGATTATCTGCATCTCTAACTAATACGATTTGTTTATGAAACTAGCTCAATTGAATGCATATATGTAAGCTAATACCTCCGATGCTTGAGAAAAACTTTCATTTTACTTTGAAAGGTCTTGCACATTTTAAATATATACCATACCAGTTTACTTTTAATTGGCAAATCTATAGATTCCAAAATTTTAACATATTTTTAAGCCGAATCCTCCCTTTTTAAAAAAATCAGCAAAATATTTCGAATAACAGATTTTTTGGTCCTTTCCCAACTACCAGCGAAATCTGATGGGCTAAATTTGTTTCCACTTCGTATTTCATCTTTCTCCGCCTCCAGATTGATGTGCATTTCAATCGGATAAAAATATTAATCCACTAATATAGGCAGTGTGCAAATAGCCCAGAGAAATTCAAATTGAATAGCATTCAAACGTTTTAGCTAATTATGGAAAAGTGTGAGAAGAAGAATCATATTTGTAAAGGTACGAAAAAAGTCTTTAATAAAATAAAATGGGAAAAGAATAAGGCTAATCTGGGAAAGGTTCGAAAAAGAATATAGAAAAAGATGGAAAATAATATTTTGATATTTGAAAAAAGGTTAGAAAAATAATATTTTAGGATGTGTGAAAAAATTTGTTTAAAAAGTAAGGGAAAAAGAATTTTATGGCTAAAGTACGATATAACGTTTGACTTGAGAGTTATATTTTTTAAAATTTGCCCAGCCAGGCCCGTTAAATTTTACTGTTAGCCCCAACTCTTTAAAATTATGATCCACTCCGGCTCGCTAAATTTTTATATTAATTTTTCGGCCAGCACATTTTTAGCATCTATATTTAATTTTTTTCCCATGGCAATTAAAGCACTTATATCTCTTCTCTATAACTATTATAAATCAATTGTAGTTGATATCTTGTATATATGTAATTGGTTTATATCATAGATGACTTGTTTATTTTAATGTGACTTTACTATATTATTTACAGATTTAGCATTTTAGTTATCAGCTATAGCTCTTAAAATACAATGAAATGAGCATATTGTAATGTGTTTTCAGAAGTATTAATCAAAATATTAGCCTAAAATTCAAAAAAATATATCAAATTTTATTTTAGATTTTGCGACGCCCTGTCTCATTTTTTATAAACACCACACATACAAAAAATTGAGAAAAATGATAGGAGGGAGGAGAAAATAAAATAGTGTCTTGGAGAAAATAAGGAGATAGAAAAGGATAGGAAGAAAAACGTGATCGGGCAAAATAATTTCAAGAACAGGGAAGGCGATGATATGTTAAGACAAAAGGATCGCAATAGATTAGAACAAAGTGGACAGATTGACAAGATGGGAGAGGACGAAAATAATCGAAAAGAAAATAAACATGACAAGAAAGACGAGATACCAGTCAACCAAAGATGATAGGGTAGAGATAGAGGTATGAAAAGGATAGATGGAGGAAAAAAAATAAGAGAACGGAAAGGACTTAAATTAAGGTGATTAGAAAAGGTACTAGAAATAAAAATTAAAATATCTTTGCAAATAAGCACCAAAACGAAAAGGATTGTATAATTATAATACGATATGAATTAAGGATTAAAAAAATTCAACAAAATAATTTGTAATCGTTATTTATTTTAATAATAATTCTGAAAAATATATTACAACAACCATAACATAATTCTTTAATATAATTTTCATATTATATAAATAATATTAATAACTCGTCGATATAATATAACTATGGAATGCATTGTTCAATTAAAGTTTGAGAATTTTTTCAACGAATTTTTTTTATACGCTAGGACACATTTATATTTTAAAAAAATTTTAGGTACGTTTTTGTTGATTCATGTTATCTCATCATAATTGAATAATAATTTAATAATCTTTAATATAAAGTTATTAAAAACATTAAAAAAATTAATTAATTAATAAGTTATTAATAGCACGTAATTTTATAAATAATTTTAATCACAATTAGTTTTTAATTAAAATGAAAATTGGATTTATCTGTGGAAATCATTCCCTGTAATATTATAATACAGATAAAGAAAAATGTCTCATCATTTATAATCTTGAGTTTCAGAAAATCGAGGGAGATAAAAATATACTGAGCTCAAAAATGATATAAATATAAATAGATAATAATAGCTATGAGCATCTGCTTTTAATTCTATTAATGTTGTAAGAGTCTATTGGAATTAGGAGAAAATTGTAAATCTTTGTCTAAATATAGTAAGCTCTTCTTTTTTTAAAAAAAAGAAATGCCTATAGTAAATTTTCTTTTCTTTTTATGAGTATCAGATTATTTTGTGAAATATTTTGAATCCATTTTAACCGATTTAATATATTATTAATTAAAGTTAACATGATTTTATTAAAAAAATATTAACGGAAAAGTATTCTTAGACATTTGTTAGATTACAATTCCGGCCGAAAAAATATAAAATCTTTAGAAATTATAAATAAAGTGTGATCTATGAATTTTTTAATTATTAAAAAATTCTAATTTACTCGAATTCCAACAAAACCTATGACACATATACTACATACAGAGATAAATATAAGTAGAATAATTAGTTATTTTTTTTAATTTAAACGTTAAGCAGTTTATATGTAAGTTCGATCGTAATCATTTTCAGTTGCGCGTATACGTAATTTATTATATATTGGGCTGACGGGGGGTTGAAGAAAATTTCTTTCTCCTTTTTTTAGCCAAATTTCTTAGTAGAGCTAGTAAACCTATGCCAGCGGCTATTACTGAGAGCATACCAACTATACCCCAAGTGGCTCGTCTATATGTAGCACATTTCGGTGATTCTTTATAGGCGTTTTTCGTAGCGAACAATTCCCCTTCCTTGATATGCTTCTCCAAATCAGGATAGAAATTGTCCCAAAAGAAGCTTTGCATAGCCTTGAATCCTTTGTTATGGCTTAGAATCGGACCTGTGCCTCCCATATCCGATATGACTAAATGTTCCATATCATTAGGCCTTATCCTGTTCCATTCAGTAGATTTTAAATGAGGACGTCTTAATTATATTTTTTTTTCAAAGAAAAGAGTTGCAATAAGTAAATATTTTGGATATAAAATCATGCTAATCTTTCAATAATAACCATCGATGAATAAAAAAAAATCTATAAGGTTTATAAATGGAAGAAGAAGAAAAAAATTATATTTAACTTTCTTTTGGCTATGTTAGACCAGGTCTCCATCATGAATTCTGACATACCTATGTCAGGAAGAGCATAGTTGTACTTTTTATCGAAGCCTGGCATTTCATTTAAGATGGCTTTGTGAGGTGTACTCTCTAGAAAGCTCCGCCCCGTGGTGGGAAATCCAAAAATATAACTCAATTCACTTCCATGACTCGATGCTTTTTGTTTAAAAAATAATAATCAACAAATAAAATTTATAAGAATCGATTTCGTTTTTTTTTTAAAAAAAATAATAGCCATCAAAGATTTTCATAATATTAATATTAATGATTTTTTTTTTCACATAAACCATGTATTAATTAAGATAATTATATATAATTATTGATAATATAATATCCATTATTTTCAAACCAAAATATTATTAAGGCCAAACAAACATTGTCATTTATTTAAATAAAATTTTTATTTTTGTAGTTTTATAGTTTTAAATAATTCGTAAGGTATAATTATACCAAAAATTAAAGAAATATAACCACAAATAATTATAAATTTTTATACCATTCTTAAACCATGGAATTTTAACCATTTCTGGCGGGTCCTCAGTTTTCGAGTGGTAATTAAAGATGTAGGAGTACAATTTTTTATGAGTTTTGGCCAAATATTTTAAATCCTTTAAATATGGCACCGTGAAAAGTTGATCACCCGTTATCTGGCATTGATATATAAAGAATTTATTTTTAAAAAAAAATCTTCAAATGAAAAAAAAATGTGAAAGCTATGAAATGTTTGAGGAAGTATTTTTTTCTTTACCCTTAAGAGATATTTTTAAAAAAGATTAAAAAAAAATAACATTTCATAAAAAGGCTAACAAACTTATAATGTTATCTTAAAGGTTACATATTAAATATATTTGCTTATATTGAAAGAAAAAAAAAATTGATTATATATTTAAAAAAATAAAATAAGTGTTATTATTAAGATAACACCGTACTAAACTTGTATAGCACTTTCCGCTATTCTCGTGTGGTTATGAGGGTCGGACCATGGTGTATACGCAAAAGCCGCCGCTTTTCGCATAGAGTCATCGTTACTTGCGTAACTTTGTGAATCCAAAACATGAGGTACAATCCTATTTTCGAAACTATTGTGACTGACTTGAATTTGCCCTTCTTCGCTAATGTTATATGAATTCTTTGGGAGTAAAGGGGCTAATGGAAAAAAAATTTATAAATTCGAAAATATCTAGCTCAAATTATAGTTTCTAAATTCTCATCATTTAAAGATAAAGGCCATGATAAAAGATGGTCCATAGGGATAAATAATTTTGTAAAATATATTTTGATTAAAATGATAGTTTAATAAAATTAACTTATTATTTTTAAATTGTAATGAGACATTAAATCTTACGAAAATAAGGCAATAATCCCTCTTCGCTATTGATTCCTGTAATGAGTACAGTATCCGAATTAAAGGGTATTTTGTGCATAATATCTTCAAAATGTTTCCCTTCCGCCTTTTTTCCCGTCACTTCTTCTATGTAAGGTTGGAATGGATGGTGCAAAAAATCTTGGTTATCAATCGAGAAAAACTAAAATTGGATATAGGAAAAATGGAATATACTTGTTTTTTTAGACTTATCAAAAAATAATTAAACATTCAACGTTTTTTTTAAATGTTAAATGATTCAAAAACTTTAAAATTTAGATTAGTTAATTCTACAACAGGCAAAGAATTATGGTCTCCATTCCAATATATGAGGAAAAATTAAATAAAACCTATAAAAATAGGAAACTCTTGGATCTTTTAACGCTACTAAAGGGAAACTAGGGTACATCCGCCTGGATTTTGTAAAAACCTACTAAAATCTTAAAATATTAATGATAGGTGTTAATGAAAGACTCTTGTAAGCCTATCTCATTTCTCTCTACCTTACATTTCGTAGAGTGAGTTATGTTGTCTATGTCCATTTTTTTCAACTTTTCGGGAGAGCATTTTTAAAAATGCTCTCCCATATTTTCAATATGTAAAGAGCTAGAATTTTTTTTATCCTTTAGATTTATATTTAGAATGATGTGCAAACAACTTATCATATGCTTAACTATTATAGTTATCTTAAAAAACATTTTCTAAAGTGGAGATGGAACAAAATTTTGAATTTAACTACTAAAAAATAAAGTAGAAATATTCAATATCCATTTTAATTTAGCATCGACGCCCCCCCCCCCAACATGTTTTATTTAATATAATCGTATAACTTCTGTAAATAAATATGTATATTCTTATTATTTAACTTTTTTTTGTTATTTTGAATTATAATAATTTCACGATAATTTGTTTACCGTTCCGGAAATGGTCAATAATTTTTGAGCGGGCATCATCCTTAAGCAATCTAATAACGCATTTCTATCTTCTATGTTAGGGCATTGGCCTTCACGAGCGACAAATTCAACCGAGTCAAATTTTCTTTGATTCCTGACTTCCTCTAGAGAAGCTAACGATCCACCCTGAGCTATGGCCGTGTCAAACAAACCTAAAGTAATTTACATATGTTTAAGGGTGTAAGTTAGATTAGATGATGCATTCAATATAGACCGAATAACGAAATACCGTATTCGATTCGATTAAATACATTTATTATTCGTACGAATATGAATAGCAAATTATTGGATTTTTTGAATCAAATTATTAGATTTGTATTTGTGTTAAATAGGCTAATTAAATTTTATAATTTTTTTTTTCAAATCAAAAGGCGAAATTATTTATTTCTCAAACCTCTAGCTCTCGGAATAGTTAATAAAAGTTTAACACAAGTTCCACCGCTACCTTGACCAAAGACCGTCACTTTGTCTGGGTCACCTCCTATATTTGGAATGTTATCGCGCACCCAACTCAGCGCAGCTATCTGATCTAGTATCCCGCAATTAGCACAGGCTAGAGACAAATTACTAAATCTCATAAATCCTAAAATGATAATTCATATTTAATCTCTTGATTACTTTCATCTAGTATTGTTAAATAGCTCTATTTGAGCCGATTTTTAAAAATGGCTAACTAAATATTCTAGCCGAAAAATTATTGCTTAGACCTCAAGATTTTGCTAATAGATGTCCAAATCTTTGTACCATTTATGATCAAAATCTTGAGGCTTGCGTAATATTTATCTGGATAAAATATTGAGTTAGTCGTTTTAAAAATTGGCTCAAAATGAACCTTTTAACAACCCTAATTTTATCTATTAAATATTTACCCAAAATTCCTAATCGATAATTTACAGTTACGACTATAACATTGTAACGAGCGGATAGGTGATAAGCTGGATAATTATTACCAGATCCCATAAGAAAATATCCCCCATGTATGAATACCATGACTGGTAATTTTTCTTTCGTCTTTTTTAAAAATAATAATTGTTTTTATAATTTAAATTAAATCATTATGTTACTCACAACAAATTCAGGGGCTCACAGGGGTGGGGGTGATTATGACGCAAAACAATCATTGAAATTAAGGAGATGGAAGGGATTTTGATTTTCTCTTTTAGTTAATCGGATGATGGTAGGGGTAGGAAAAGGGGTAGATGGGGCAGGGTAGCAATATCGTCCTTTGCCCAGAAGGGTGTAGACCTCTCTGGAGCCAATATACAAACTTAAATAGTTTTATGGACTTATTTAATCTTTGTTTTGTAAATATATATATATTTTTTAAATATTAATTTAATTTCTCTCCCTAGCATATTACTCTTGTAAAATTTTCCCCCCTATTTATTAGTTTTTGTGATCTTTATCCGGTGTCGTTTTTCACCCATATGCTAGTTATTCAATAAAAACTAAGTTAGCCAATTAACTATATTACATTAAATTTCTACCGTCCATCTGATCATTGTATATTTATGCTTATTAACCATACGCGTAGCCGAAGGGGGCCGTAGGACGTTTTTATCTTGGAAAATTTACCAGTTTTAGTAAATATCACTAATAGAAATTATTCTCCTATTATACCCCTTCACACCCCCCCCCCCTCCCTCCCCCCTCTACCCTCCAAAAAAATAATGTAATGCCATTACTCATTATAAACACTAAGTAAATAATGATTATAGAATTTAATAAAGAAAAATAAGCAGAGTTTAGCTCTTATAAGTAAAAAATCCTTAGAATGTGTCTTGGTTTAACTTAATTCTGAAACTTTACTGCTTAACCAAAGTTAAACAGCTTTTGAAAAGATATCCTATTTTTGTTTGTTTTAGTATTTGGTACCATTGTTTTTTTTTCGTTTTTTTTTCGTTTTTTTTTGTATTTTTGATTTTTTTTTAAAATATTTTTTCTTTTGCTTTTTTGGGCAGTCAAAATAAATGTAAAACGTTATGCAAACTAAACCAGAGACCTGTAATAATTGAACCCAAGGCTATCCAATAACATTTATATAATCAAATTCTACCAAATCCTCACCTCTCCTTACGAAAATTTTTAATAATACTAAAAAAAATATCCGCTTAACCCTGATAACGCGAATTCGCAATAAAGTATACAAAATTTGCGGCGAAGAATACAAAAATATGGCATGTTTTGTGTACTTCGCAGTAAATTCGCGCTAAATATGAATGATAATATTACTCGACTTCTCTAGAATGATTCTCGCTATTAAAAAAAAAATAGACAAAATTAGGTATGAAAGATTATTTTTCTTAAAGATAATTTCCAAAAAAGATAATAAAATTATTTCACATTTGCTCTAGGCGCATAGACGTTAAGATATAGGCAATCTTCATTTCCAGATATATTCTGAGTTAAGGGGTCAAGTTGATAACAAGATGGCGCCAATTTCGTTGCCGGTCTTTCACCACCCCACGGTTCCATTGGCATTGGAGGCTTAAAAAACAGTTAATTTTATAAGATAATAAATTACATTTCTTAAATTTAAATTTTATGTAATGTAAATGTTAAATAATCACTTACGAGAAGAACTTTTTTTTCAGAAAATTTAATCTTATATTTGATATTTATTAGTAATACGATATGAAGCTTAATATCGGAGGATGTTATTTATTTATTTTTTACCAAGATATTCGCGAAATTTCGACCTTAACAAAAATATGTTCCTATTTTTTTTTTGATCGTAATTAATAACTATCTAACAAAATATTACTATTTTTTAAAGAAATCATTAAAATTTATTATTTTGAAAAAAATAAAAAATCTTATGTATTTACTATGTAATATAACTCAATTTCATTGAAACTTTATATTGTAATGCAATGGATCTAATCTATATAATATTAGAATTGCAAAAACTACAAACATATAGCGACAAAAAACTTTAAGCTAATTCATAGGGTGAACTAGAAATCAATTTTTAATATTTATAGAATTCCATTATTAAAACTTTGATTCAATCTCAATATAAAAAATTAATAAACCGGTTGCCTAACCACTAATTATTTTCTATGACTACTTTTATCGAGAGATGACATCCAATATTTTAGTAATGAATCTTAGGGCCAGCAAAGAAAGGCTTTTAGAATAATATCAAATAATCCAATTTATGTTATTTAAATGTAACTTCAATATTTTTTAAATTTAAAAGGAGTACATAATCAATATATATTTATGATAATCTTAGCACAAAAAAAAATTACCGCAAATGTCAATTAAAGCGAAAAGATATTTCGGCAAATGCGTTTTTACCGCGAAACAAAAACATTATAGTAAATAAAAGCAGCCATAAGTATCTATTTGATTTTACTGAGGGGCCGACCATAAACATCTGTTTATATCTAGAACCTCTCATCTAACCTATTTTTTCAGATTCGACCCGATCTTCGAAAAAATTTATATCCAACCCAAGTATGTCTTATGTCAACGATCCGAGTTTCGATCGGACCCATGGGATCCGACCAATCCAATATCTAATATACATTATAATTTCTATAATTATTAATATATTTTCTAGTCCCTAACTATGCATTCTCGATAATATGACAATTCGGTACTGCATGATGCATTTGCCGTGCTGTATTCGTAGAAATGTTTTCGGTAATACATACGTGATAATTTATTCGCCATCATGTTTTCGCGATAATGCTTTTGCCTGTATAATATTTGGCGGAAATAAATGAGTAGTACACGCGGTTGGCCTTACAAAAACGAATAATTCATCATCCGATTCGTGTGCATTTTTGAATATGCCTTAATATACAAACGCGGTAATACAATCGCGGTACTTATTTTACCGGTTAATTAACATTCGATTGTAAACAAATTAACGGTAATGACGCGACATGTTGTAAATGTAAAATAATGATTGCAACAGAAAAAACTATATCCAATAAAAATATAAATAAAATACCAAAGCTATGCATAAAAAATTGATATTTTTCGCGGATACATAATTATTTTTTGGATTTTAACATTTTGATAAGAATCCTTTTTTTAAAATATATTTATTGATTTGCTATTTGTATATATCAATGTGAATCGAATATTATTTATAATTGCTTTTTATTATATTTTGTAATTGAGTTTCAATTTTATATCAAAATGAATTATGGCTTAATAAAGCTCTTCAAAATCTATTAATATTTATTTATTTAAATATATTTTGTCTTTAAAAAAAAATAAACCTTTTACAGGATATTTTTTTTTACTTGAAATTTCGAATATATAATATGGTCACTTGATTGGACTTAATCTAACTTTAACATTTATTTTTTAAAAATTTAGTTAGTTTTAGAAAATTAGATAATAAATATATATGAGTGCACAGTGGCTTCTACCACGGCGGGGGGGTGAGACATGTGACTAGCGTTGTTAAATCGCCAAACTTTGGTCCATTCCAAAACTATTATCAAGTATCCTAAAAAATTGATCTTAATCTTCAAGGTTAGACTCAACTTACGGGATTTAAGTTAATTTTTTTTCCAGGCTTGTCTAGGCCGTATTGGAGATGCCCAAAGTTAGGTGATTTAACATCAATACACAAAACCAATTCCGATAAATCCTCAGGGGGGGGGATTAAGAAAATTTTGATTATTGAACCCCCCTTCGCTTTTTTGCGGGTAGTTTTGATATTTATAATAAGGAACTAGGAACAAAGGCATTTATGCATTCCTGTTCCCTTCCTTTCCTTTTCTGGTCAAAAAAGATCCGTATCATGTTTTGGAAGAATATGTATTTTCCTAGATTTAATTATTTTTTGAGCATCCCTAAATTTTTAAAAATGGATTATCTTTAAGAATTCACTATCCAGAGTTCTCCAGACCTTTTTGACTAGAAGGACACTTCTTTCTTTCTACTAATATATTGATTAAGAAAGTACCCTCCCCTCCTCCACCCCCCCCCCCCCCCACAAAAAATTTTTTAATGACACAATTGCGTATTACCCCCTTCCCCTCATGGAGATGGCCTTGCCTTTTGGTAAGAAAAAAATTATATACATCAGTGTGCCGTAGTATCAAATGTGTTATTGATTAATTACGAAATTTTGGATGGATGAACTTTATTGACTCATCAATAAACATTCATCTGCAAAATTTTTATCCAAAATAAAGAAATTAAAAGAAAATCTATAAAATATTTTTGGGACTCACATTTTTGTAAATATAAAAAGGGACTGCCCTTGAAATTTATTAATCGATAAAATCAATATTTATAAGCTCTTTAAAGAATTTAAAATAAAAAACAAATTAAACAAAACAAATTTTAATTTCCTGGATGTTTGTCACAAAAATTTTGGTTCAATTGTTTGGTTTTGGCCCCATATCTAAGGAGTCTAATTATACAATTATTTTTTTTTAAAAATGGCTTTGCTATAAATATTGTCAATCAATCAAAATCAACGAATTGTATATTTATATAAACTGTAAAAAACTAAATCTCAAAAAATTTCCTGGCATTTATTATCAGAATGTATAATTATAGTTTGTTTTTTTAATGAAAGAAAAGGCTATATTTTTTTATTATTCCGATTTTTAAAATTTAAAATATTTATAAATATGTGAATCATATATCCTTTTAGTTAACGTAAATAGAATGGCTTCTCAGACTTTCCTACTTGAAATGGGAGGGGGAGGGGTGTGGATTATTTTTTAGGTAAGGGAGGCTAGGAGGTAAATTTTTTTTTTTTGTTGTTGCTAATTTTGTTATTGGTAGGAGGACATGATGGTTGGGTTACTATTGAAACTGAGGTATAGCAGTCCCTACTCCAGCTGAGATTACTAAAATAACACATGTTAATTTACCAGAGTTCCTTTTTCTCCGCCGATTTTTGGTCCTTTCATGAGGATTTTAGAACTTTTAAATCTTTAAGCTGATATTTAAAAAAATATAGCGCGCAGCGTTGAATATACATTACTAGACTGGGGAAAAGATGATTAAAATTGCGCTAGGACGGCTTCGTAGACCAGACCATATTTATTCTTTAGTTTCAAATCGCTTGAAAGATAAAATGTTTAATAGTAAGATACTTTTTTTTTGACCAAATTTGAAACATTTTGCAAGAACTAAAATTTTGTGGACATTTTGCTTTCTCTGGTTCTCCAGATTCTTCTTTTTGCTATAAAATTCTCATAATTTAAAAAAAAATGAATTTATGCAATTCCGCAAAAAATTATATCACGCTTTATAGTGCGCATAAATCGAGCGTTTGCGTTTTGCCCTAATTTTTAATTTAAGGAAAAACATAACGCATCCCTTGTTTAAATTGAGAGGTTGTCTTATTATTGGTATTGTAAATTTCAAAATTTTAACTGACGCTGAATTTAAAGTAAACGCGTTGTGTTCAAGCTTTGCGTTATCTAACGCTATCCAATGCCACATTATGTTTTAATATTTTTTGGAATAACATAAACAATGGAGCGTTATCATTATAACTCTCCATATTTATAAATTATACCTATTTATTTTATTGGCTTGATTTTGTAAACAACGCACCGCTTGAACATAACGAGTTTACTATAAATTGGGCCTAATCAATTATAAAAAATAATAATTGGTTTTTATAAATTATAATTATCGTCTGCTTTTTTATTTCATTAGTATCCTCAAAAGATAAGTTATTTTTTTATACATATAATTAAACAATATGAGGGGATTCCCCATATTCTTCTTCTAGGAAACAAGGTTTTGTAGGCATTCTTGGGGAAAACCGAGTTCTAGAAAGTCGCATTTATAGTAAAAGCGTTATATTCAGGCGTTGCGTTAATTCAAAATAAAGCCAATAGATATAAATTTATAAATATAGAGCGTTATGATGATAACGCTATGATAAAATTTGAAAAAAATATGCTGCGATGCGTTGATAAAAAAAAAACATGCGATAGGATAATAATAATGGCGAATTCGATAAAAAGATTATATGCTTTTATTAAATATTATATAACATAATTATATCTATTTTAGCTTTATTTTTAAATTAGTTTTTAAAACAGGATCAGTTGTAAAAACGTTGTGTTAAATAACGCGTTTACTACAAATGCAGCCTAACTCTTTGTAGACCAACGTGCAAAATGAATGAATAAAAAATTATTGGAAGAAAGCAAGCCAGTTTACGTTTTTTTAAGGTTTCTAACGCTAAACGACTAATTGACCAATTTGAACGATACCATTTGAAATGCATAATTTATATTTATAAGGAAGCGTTTGAAACGCTCGTTTGTCCACTTAAAAAATATTTTATTAATATTTGAATATACGTTAATATTTAAGTGATTAAGAATATATCTAATTCCTAATAGATTTTTTAGGAATACAATTTGTTGTAATAGTTTTAAAAAGACATTATAAAATGTTAACCTTCATCTAAAAAAATTTCAAATTAAAAAAAAAATGAGAAGTATAATATGATTTGCATAATTTTGTTCAATATATAAAAAAAATACCAAATTTTATAAAAATACAAATATAACATCCCCTCTAGGTAAATTATTTTTTAAAGGTAAATTATTTATTTTGTGAAATGTTAGAAAATTATAAATTGAACAGAAATAACAAAATTTAAAGCATGCTTATTTTCTTTTTTTATTAGGCTGAGTGCAAAACATCAAAAAATTTAATTCAAAAACTTCTCAAACTTTATCGTTTTGTTTTAACAGCAAAATAAAAAAAAATATAAGGCCATAACATATTTGTGATATTTTTTCGAACCTTTTATCGTTAGGTATTCCCTAAAAGTTTTAAAACTTTTGGAATTTTGGAAAAAGTTTTGAACTTTATTCTAAAAAATGGCGTAATAATAAATATAATATTTGAAACCTTTCAAATAACTTTTAAAGAGGAGAAATAATCTTAAAAACGCGCCTCTACCTATGGATATAATGTATAATAGTAAAACAGAGTACGATTCTAATAAAAAGTAATTACCAAATACCTTATTTATGATTATATAATTATAAGAAAATATAAGAAACATGTCGTTTTTTTAATACTAGTTAGATAAAAAGATTACACTAAATTTTTGAAATAAAAGGCGAACATTTTTGAAAATGGATGCTAAGGCCGTATCCTGCTGACTCCCTATTTTTGAAACTTATTTCTGCTTACACCAGTTCTATTTAGATTTAAAAACTAGGACACCCTATTCTGTTTAAAGTGTGTTCTAAATCGAAATATCCTTTTTTTTTAAAATTCTGTTTAGAGGAAGATATTTATAGACGGATTTCTGTTTAGAAGTAAGACTAGTTACACCAGTTCTATTTAGATTCCAAACTAGGACACCCTATTCTGTTTAAAGTGTGTTCTAAATCGAAATATTCTCTTTTTTTAAAAATTTTGTTTAGAGGAAGATATTTATAGACGGGTTTCTGTTTAGAAGTAAGACTAGTCAAGACACGGCCTAAATGATCCTTTTTTTTTAAAGTTATATATTTTTTTTAAATAATTCAATAGTTTTTACCTTGAATCTTAGTTTCCCCAAGGGTGGTTTTGCGTAAGGTACACCCATAAAAACTGCCAACTTATCTCCCCCAGGAACGGACACGATTGTTCCTATCAATTTACCTTCGGAAGTTTGCATGACATCATTTGATTTAGCTTCACTACTGGGATAATTTAGGGGCTCGGTTGGAAAAATAGTTGTTTGCGCTTTCAATAAAAGCGTTCCGTATAAAATGCAAAATACAGTTTTAATCAAAGATACTTTAACTACGATCGGATTGGAGACTAGAATTTCCATTATTTATTATTTATTTTTTTTGGTCAATTTCCCCTTTTAATAAAAGATAAGGAAAGTTTTAATTATTCCGAAATAATTTTTAAATATATTTTTTCATTTGAGAAAAACCGAAAAATATTGTATATTTTTTAAAAAAAGATATTGGTGGTTATATATATTATTTTTTTTAAATTTAAAAAATATTTTAGTTATAGATTTCGAATATAATACTTTCCAATAAAAACAAAAAAATATTTAACGAAAAAGAAAGAAAAAAAAACAAACTAATCAAAAATAATTTCCTTATTATAATTTCTTTTATTGAAAAAAAAAAATAAAACAAGGAAAAAATTTGTTTTAAAAAAATTATATAAATAAAAAAAATTTAATTATTTTTTTTTTTATATTTATAAAAAAAAAATAGATATTATATATTAATTAATATATAATATTTCAAAGGTGACAAAAATTTTGCGGGTACAAATTATTACACAAGATAGTTCGTATGCAAATTTTAATCAATAATTATATGACAAATAAATTATCATTTTTTTTTACTGTATCATCTTTTATTTATTTAAAAAATTTAATTAATTTGAACACAGTAGTTTAATGTTGAACTGTAAAATAAATAAATAATATAAATATATACATATATTTATTAAACATATGAAATCAGTGTTTATGTAATATTTTTATTATTCTAATAAAAAAAAATTGTAACCGTGACCTATATATCCTTAGTACTATTAATTAATATTATATCTATTTTATCAACTTTATCTACTTTACCGTTTTTGTAATTACTTGACATTATTTCTACATTATAAACATGATTTGGTATTTTATATTTTAAAATATGTATATCCTTATACATTTTATCAATATTGGAGTATTTAAAGGGGGTGTCAACGGGTCGCCTACCCCCAACCCCATCCCTAAAATAATTATCCAAATGTAAACTTATCTCAAAAGATCTCTATAAATAAAATATTCTTACCTTTAAACTTAGATTTCATTATCATTAAGGTGATGATAGTAGCATATATCCCAAGAACAACAGCGCCTAGAGCTCTGAATAATTTTGTTTTCTATACAGCTTGTTTTAAAATATATTTATATAGTATGTAGAGAATTTATCATGTCAATCCCAAAACTAGTGGGGCTTTTAATACGCGTATTATCTTCCATGTGGCTCGGCTTTGGGCCATATCAATGATTTCTTATCCAACATCCTTGCGGATTTTAGAAACAATTTATCGTGGCCTGCTTCTAGTTCGTTGGCTCAGAACTTCCGCTAGTTGAGTCAGTCCTTAGCACATGTTCATATCATCTTAGTCTGCTCTCCTTTCTCTTTCCGACCTTTCTTAGGCTATCATTGGTCATACAATTCAGCTTATTGGATCATTCGAATTTCGATTACATCAAACATCTTCTTCACAGCAGCTGGTAGTGCTTAAGTTTTGCACTTCATATCAGAGACCTTCGTGGGCCAAAATTTTTTGATCAAGCCCGGCACATGCCCGCAGTAAAAAAAATTTTTTGGCCCAAGCCCGGCCCATATATAATGTTAAAAATAATTCCCAATCCCGGGTAAGCCCATATACAAAAATTTAATATTTTTTTATTTTATAAAAATTAACAATATTTAAATATTTTTAGGTATTCATTTTGTTTAAAATACTGAAATTTATTATTATTAGAAGAAAAAAAGGCAATATTTCATTAAATTAGCAACTGTTTTAAATAATCTAAATTTAAATTTAATAATCTTAGGCCCACGCCCAGCCCAAGCCCATTAAAAAATTTTTTTTTAATCCAGGCCCGGGCCAGACCCGCTAGAAAATATGATATTAGGCCCGGGCTGGGTATGGGCATGCGGGCCGGCCCCCCATGAAGGTCTTTGCTTCATACAACAAAAAGGGTCCAATAGTATTTCGATAGACCTTATCTTTAAGTCACCTTGGCATCTTCCTATGACAAAGCACCCCCTGACATCCTTCTCCATTTCATCCATAGCAGGTAGCGAAAAAAATTGTGTTATTGTCAGGTCGTATATATTAATGGGCAATAGCTTGGATACATTATAAAACACTAGGAAACAAGATTGAGATCCAGTTTATATATCAGAGATTATGTTAATTCTGAAGGAATTGGTTGACACAAGCATACAGTTAGCACCTCTAAAAACGGAAATAAAACAACTATGACGAAAGTGAGACAAATCATTCATAAGAAATTATTAGAGATCGATTATCGTTCAGCTCCTCATAAATTTTTAAAAGTCTTGTTTGTTGTAGCTGTTGAAAAAAAGAAGAAATAAATTTAATATAATACATCAAATGTCAGTTATTTTCTGACAGGAAAGGAGTTTTCCTGGTGGATGGGAGGAAAACGAAATCATCACATGGGTTGTTGTTAGAAAAGAACATTCTTTGTTTGGATTTGGAGTGGAGATATTGAAGACGATACTGACTGGGGAAGATTTAATGTGTTTATATGTTATATATATGCTGAATAAAGATGAATTGTAGTAATGTTTATTATATTTATTTAATATTATTAGAAAGGATTATTTTGGATTGATAAGTTATATTTTTGAGAGTAAAGGGTTGAGAGTAAAGGTCATCATATTATCATTTTTCAAAAATGTTGCCAGCTGACCAGGATCGACAACATATGGATTTAGGTACACAACGCAAGTATTAAAAACTATACAGGGGTAAGTGAGATTAAAAGGTGAGTTTAAGGGTTTCTATAATTTTATCTTAAATATTTAGCTTACAAAGCTTAAGATAGAAAGTATGTAATGAGTATTAGGATTGAAAATTAAAATAAAATGATTAATTATTGGTTAATGATATTTGATTCATTTTGGCCCATTTAAGACAATGATATTTGTGGTATTAGATGTCTTCATTTTGGCCATTTAAGACAATAATATTTGTTATATTATATGTCTAGATGTATATTTTACATATGTTTGACAATAAGTATTGTCTTATTATTTGGTGCGCCTTAAAACTCATTGAATGGTGTTATAGGTATTCCGTCATAGGAAGATAAGACCTCTAGATCAGCAGGACAGAAAGGATTGCTAAATATTTGAAATTTATGAAAATATATATAGAAATGGACTTTTGTAATAAAGTATGCGTTATATAATTATGCATTTTGGGTTTTTAAAGGGATGGACATGTGTGGGATAATTTATTATTAATTAATGTTAATATATTGTATATGTAATTTCGTTTCAATTAAGGTTGATATGTTATTAAGGGATCTATTGAGGGTGAGTTAATGTTGTTTATTTTGAAGTAATTAACCATTTTTATGAAATAGGGTGTAATGTGAATTACACATATGTTATATTTAATTATGAATGATAATTTAAAGGAATTGAAGTATGATGAAGTCAGAATAATATCTATAATGTTAGATGTGGATAGTTATTTTGATTTAGTGTCTGCATTTGATATATATATAAATTGGGTAGGGATATTTGATATATTAGATGATGTGTAATTATTATTTTTTTAAATTATGAAATCTCTATATTTAATATATATGTATTTTTTTTTTAAATTATAAAATTTTATAAAAAGTTTTATTTGCAATTATTATATTATTTTTATGGTATGCAATGATGTGAAGGGAAAATATTTTTACAGATAAGGTCAGCCCATGTTGATGGGTATGCCTTGAGGTGGGAATATTGTTTAGTTTGCATACTGGAGAAAGTTTTTTTTTGTGTAAATTTTTTTTTGTAAATTTATGCTGCATATTACATTTTTTTTATCTTTGTAATAATTTTATAGCGCATCACTATTTACTATTTATTTTATGAACATTTTTTTTTAAAAAAAAGACTCAAATTATTTTATATTGTAAGGTATATTAAAAATTCTTTACATATATACCATATAGCCCATTATATTCTCAATTTTTGTTACTTTGCATTCTACATTTTTGTGAATTTGTGCTAATTGTGATGGCAGAGTTAGGTAGAAATGATATATTTTTCTAAGGATACTGAGCAATTCCTAGATGGAAAATATTGTATTTACTACATATTATATTAAAATATTAAATTTATTTCTATACATATGTCTTGTAATTTTATTTAAAATCTTTGTTCGGCAAATTTTCACAATTATTTTTAATACCTAAAAATGGATTTTTATATCTATTTTAGGAGATATTTATAGAAATGTAGCCTTGATTTTGTTTACATGACAGAAGGACAATTACTTGTGTTGAAATTGCATTTCACACAGACCATGTGTTCACATTACAGTATTATATGTAAAATCATTATTTCCTAATTATCATTAATCATACCCAAATAATGTATATTATAGCTCCTATTTCCCAAATGTCTTAAAATGAATGAATTATTATGTTTTGCTGATATTACATTGTCCATATTAAGGTTCCATAGATTATAAATGCAGATACCCCAATGTACATGTCATTATTGATAATATGTGTTTTCGCGATTATATATTGAAATGTATCGGAGATATTATATTATAAATCATCATAAGGGAAGACGATTCGATAAATTCCCTGAACGTCTTCAGGCGTCCCGATACAATTCAAAGGGGAGATTCGTTACAACACCACCACAGAGAGAGGGACGCTGGGCTTGTGAAGGGTGGGCGTGTTATAGCTGTTGAAAAAAAAGAAGAAATAAATTTAATATAATACATCAAATGTCAGTTATTTTCTGACATGAAAGAAGTTTTCCTGGTCGATGGGAGGAAAACGAAATCATCACATGGGTTGTTGTTAGAAAAGAACATTCTTTGTTTGGATTTGGAGTGGAATATTGAAGACGATATTGACTGGGGAAGATTTAAATGTGTTTATATGTTATATATATGCTGAATAAAGATGAATTGTAGTAATGTTTATTATATTTATTTAATATTATTAGAAAGGATTATTTTGGATTGATAAGTTATATTTTTGAGAGTAAAGGGTTGAGAGTAAAGGGTTGAGAGTAAAGGGTTGAGAGTAAAGGGTTGAGAGTAAAGGGCATCATATATATTATTTTTCACTTGTTAAAATGGCGTCGTTAGTTATCATTCAGGGGTGTCTAGAGAAGTCATTGCTAGGTACCGAAAAATAAAATATATTAGGCGGGCTTAGATTAATTTTAAAATATATCCCTCATCCTTTTGTCCTTTCTTATCGAGGCCACTGTTTGTAGTTTGTAGACTTCATCTTTAATTCATTTCGCGATAGCCTAATTACTAAAGACAATC